TATAATTGACGGTATATCAATTATTTATATTTAAAGAGTGGGTATATTGGTATTTAACCCAATTGATATGAAAAATTAATAAAATTTATAAGTCAAATATTTAAGGGTATTTTTATCTTTTCAATTAAATATTAATAGAAAACCCTAACAGAACCTGATGAAGGGTGGCAAAGTGTCATTTTGAAACTTAACGGGTGGGAAAGTGTTGTTTTGTCAAACCTTGGATGGGAAAATGCCGTTCTCCCTTTTTTCTAACTTGATTTTCCTTATAAATTTACTTTTAATGATTGATGTGTTGTTATTGGGACAGTTTTAAGGTACACCCAAGACTATGACGTGAAAGAAGTACCCCAACCGCTATACACCACTTGTCAGTGGCGGGTCTAGGATTTTTGCCCAGGGGACCCCTCGCTCCGTCACTGTTTGCCAATCAATTAGTGAAAATATAAGAAAATAACATCTAATTCACAAGAAAACACAAAAAAATTGTTACGTGGAAAAACCTCTTCAATATAAAGAGATAAAAAAACCACGGGAATCTAACGATCCACTTAAATCTAATAAAATCAAAAGAGTTTACTGATGCGTATTTTTGACAAACATGCAAATGTAGTAAGTGTACTGGTCGCAAAAAATAATAAAGTGATAAGTAGAGTATCGTTCCCACGAGGATAGTGTTACTAAGTACCGATTTCTCTAGTTGAAGTCCTAATTGAAGCAACAATAAATTGGATTGATAAAAAATTAACGAACTAAATACAATTTAAGAAAATATAAATGAATGATAATGAAATTAAAGCAAATCCCAACAACTTAACTAATTAAACAAAATGCTAAAAAAAATGCTAGGGTGTTGATTTCACCTAGATACGCTAACCAAAATCATAGAATCTATTACCCAAGTTCTAATTCCTTGATTGAAAATGGAATTCTCTAAGTTGTAAAATATACCTTCTTAGGTTATATTTTCCTACTTATCCCTATTAAGTTTCCGCACCCAACAAAAATGAAGATTAATAGTTCAAAGTCTTTTAAGCTTTATGGAATTCTATCTAGATTTCATAAATCGTTAAACCTATCTCTAGCGTTTGCTTAATCTGCAGTATTTATCTCAAGAGGCACAATCACAAATCACTTCTCAGTCTCATCGTGAACAACACACATTTGAATGGTGATCAAACATCCAAAAGTCATTAAGTAAAGAGATAAACACTCAATCATGAAATTAAAACTCAAAGTAAATCAATTCATATAAATTTAAATCATTGTATCAAGGTTACATCAACTCTAGCTAAACAACTCAGTTCATACTCAAAAACAAAACAAAAAAACAAAAACAAACTAAATCCAGATTCATCATTGAAAAACAAGCAAAAGATAGAGAAATCTTCTTTAATTTGAAACTCAAATCTTCAGTAATCTTATCCTTCCAAGAGCTACCTTCCAAATGACGAACCAAGACCCTTTTTCTTTCATTTTCGTGCTAATTTATACCTCTTTTACTTAAAGACGAAGCCCTAGCAAGCCAAAACGTGTCGTTTTATTTTTCACATCTGACGCAGTTTTGCCGTGGCAAAGCTTTTTCCTTGCCGCGGTAAGAATATTTCAGGCCAAATTTGAGCATGAAAGAGTCTGAATATGGAAAAGTGTTAAACATATGAATTGTAGCCCTTTAAATTATATTTCTACTCGTTTAAGAATCAGCACAATCCGAAATCTAAAGCTCAAGTTATAGCAGAAATACTGAAGCATGTTTAAAGACGTTTTTCTTCAGTTTCTAACATACTGTTCACGACTTCAAGCCAAGTTTTCACCCTTGTCTAGTCAGAATTAGGGAAAACCCAAAACATGAAAGTTGTAGGTCTGCTTCTTAGCTTTCAAAATCTTCTAAAATCAGGTCATTCTGAGTTTCCAAGCTCAAGTTACGTAATTTACGCAACTGTCATTTATGCTTAAAATCATCGTTTAAGCCTACAAAGACAAATTAATAGAATTAGGTAGTAATTATGGCCCAAATTGTGTGAGAAGTATCTTAAATCCTATCGAAATTTAATGCAAAATCATAGGGAAAAATAGGATTATCATTTACAACAACCATAAATCTACCAAAAATATTCTACACAAATTTAGAGTTCAATCACAACTCTAACAAAAGTAAAATACACGAAGGTTTATAAAATATGATTAAGGGAAGTTGGATTTTGGGGGAGAAAAACTTGAATATAAAAAAAGACAAAACCTAACATTTTAATTTTTTAATTTTTTAACTTTTAATTTTTTTTTTTTTTTTTACCTTTTAAAAAAACTTTTCAAATTTTTTTTTAAAGGTGAGGGTAGGCCCGGGCCTACCCTCAAGGGGCCTGGGTCCGCCCCTGCCACTTGTAATACATACTCAAAGAAGCCGAATCAAGATTATAACAGGCGACACCGTAATCTCTCTTACTCAACTTGACGATCTGTATTTCATTTTCAACAATTTTTGCAGAACGCTCAGGTTGTACATCTTCATTACTAACTTTTTAAAAAAAGTCAAGTTAAACCAGAATCAATTTTTAAATAATTATAAAAGAAAGATTTCTCATAATTTTTTTGACATTTTTACCCTTATCTTCTACATTTAATCACATTAATACCATTCTTGTTTATGATAGAATTTTTTTTTTTTTTTTTAAAGTTTGAATATAAAATATTACCATTTTCTAAAGAATATAAAGTTAAAAGATATATAAAATGTCTAAAATATATTTAGTGTATGTAAATAGCAGAAAAAAAATATATAATATTAACTAAAAGTTGGTTAAAAAATGGCTTTTCCGGAAAATTGATGAATAAATTCGAAGACTATATACTCTTGCAATGTATAAGTCGTGTATAATAATATTAGCCTTATTCGAATGGACTTTTTTTATATTTTATATTGGAAAATTGATATTTTATATAAAATCAATTAGGTAAAATTGATTTAATTTGTCGAGTCTAGGCGATTATATTTTGGGCCCATTAACAGAATCTAGAGGATATAATTAATTACTCAAATCATTAGAAAAAGATAAGTCAAAAGGAGATTGGATGTGATTTATGCGACGTAATAAAGTTGTTATAAAAAGTGGAGCCCACACTGTGACCCACAAAATCTAAGTGTTCTAACTTCTCTGTCAAAAGTGCTTTTTTAGTCGAAACTCAAAAGCACTTATCTATCCACTCACCTGACTGACCAATGATCAACCGTTACCTATCCCTCTCCAGCTTCAATGACTCCATCAGCTCCGCTGCCGTCTCCACCCTTGAACAACTCGTACTATCTCCACTCTTACAAAGTCCGGTCAGCTCTCAACTCAGGTTAACTGTACTGTTAATTGATTAAGCACATTTAATATACTATTATGTTTAAAGTATAACTTTTCTCTGCATCTCAAATCAATTGGTCTTGGTGTTTATCACTCCCGTAGATTATTTCTCATTTAAAAAAAAAAAAAAAGAGTAATAATATAATTTAGAAGTTGAAATCAACTTTTAATCTCAGCTAATATTATCATTCTCATCAAGCTAATATGATTATTATTATCATTACAAGATGATTATTAATTTTTTAATAATCCCCTCCTACGAATTCCAATCACTCATCTCCGATTTGAAGCAAAATCTAATTTTTTAAATCTGGATGCTTAAGTCAAATAATAATAAATGGATTAAGTATGCTTTTAATATATACTATGATGTTTAAACTACATTTTTATCAAATTAATCGGTCACCCATGTTTTTCCACTCTTGTAAATTTAATAACAGAAGATTATAATAAATAAATTAGACTATTTTAAGAGTTAAAAAGATGCCAAGGACCCTCATATCTCTCATGCTCACTTTGCCACTTGAGGCCGTCCTATGCAAAGATCAGTTATTCGTTGATTATAAAGCATATATGTGTATCAGTCAATAGAATCATAGTTGTTACACTCACACCTCTCGTCTCTACACTAAATGATTCCAACTTCCAATGTGTTACAATTTATTTTAAAAATACTTATTTTGAGTTAGACATTAAATTAAATACCAAGAAAAAAAGAACAAATCAATTAAAAACAATAATTTTCTAATAGCTAGAAAGGTTGTATATATATCATGAATAATAAACAAAATTATCTTATTGAGATACCTTATCGAAGATGTTGAATTTAGTAATTTATTGTAGATTTATGATTTGTTGGTTTCAATTAATTTTATAACAAGAAATTTAGTCCATGGAAATTGTGAGTATTTTTTTTTTCTTAGTATATTAACAATATTATGATCATCTACCAACTTTGGTCTCTAGATTCTAGAACATTGATTGTATCATCCTATAATATACTATATATGTTATCTTAAATTTAATATTATACATATAATTTAATGTTTTTATAATTTTGTAATGAAAATATGAAGTGTATACCGAGACTTACATCACACAATCAGTTAAGTGGGGTTTATTAGTCAACTTAATCAGCGTGATTATATTTAGGGTAGATTCGCTCAATAATAACTTTGAATTTTTGTATTAATTATATCTGTTCACACATCACACCATTCCATTTACAGAGGGCCTATTTAAAATTCAACTATCAAATTAGAGGATAAGCATCTATTTAAACAAAACAAAAACAAAAGCAAAATATTAAAATAAAAGATAGTTTGTCAAAGGTTATCAGGACCCGCCTCTTCACTTTGCCTTCAACGTTGTTGATTTCTAGAATCCTACAGCATGCCAGCTCCGTTGTTAGAGAAAAAATGGAGCCCACTGTGTGACCCACCCAATCCAAATGCAAACCCAAACTTAAACCCACTACGGGAGAGCCACGAAGAAAAGTACGCGGTTGAAACGCGTTTTATAAAATTAGAAGCAAATAAGTAAACCGATCCTAACCCTTCAATTTCAACTCTTCAACGTGTCATTAGATGCTAAAATCTCATGTTCGATTGTTCCCGTCTTTCTTCATTCCTGGAAAGACTATATATAATAATGATATGGATTGAGTTTCTCATTCCATTTTTTCTCTTCTTCTTCTTCTTCTTTTTCCTTTTATGTTTAACTCACTGAGTTGCAAAGAATTAATGGGTAAAATTTTTGCACTACTCGTCTTCATCCTTTCCTTGAGCTGTGCAGTTGCTCTTGCTGAAATGGATATTTATGTGGGCGGATCTAAAGGTTGGAGTCCGGAATCCGATGTTTCAGCTTGGGCAAAGTCCGTTAAGCCTCGCGTGGGAGACACTCTCGGTAAGCAGTAATCTATCATCTTCTCGTCATGAACCGCCGCCGCACAACCATAACGCAGCACAAGATTTAAAATTTTATGTTGAAATTCTAATATTTTACTTTTGTTTCATAATTATATTATTGGGGCAGTGTTCAGATACACGACGGAGTACGATGTGCAAGAAGCATCCCAACTGTTATACAGAACTTGTAATACAAATTTAAAGCCAAATCAAGTATACAACGATGGCTACACCGTCATCGAGCTGACTCAGCCCGGCGACCTTTACTACATTTCCGGCAATCACTGCAAAGACCTCCGGCTCTACATCCAGGTTGACCCCTAACACGTGGCTAGCTATCCATATATGTATTTGGTTAATTATATATATATATATATAATCTGTCTTTCTGAACCTGATGGTGAGTGTTTGACTTGAGACACGAGAGTGGCGGCTTTGGTTTTCCTGAATTATGTTGGATTGCATTTTGAGTTGAGATGTTTCATATGTATTTATGGTTGCTTACAAAATACAACATACAGGAAGTAATATCCATCAGAGCCAACCTGATCAGGCAAAAGGGTTGACTATACTACAAATATAATATTAACACATAATAATCTTTTATCAATTGGTCAAATTTCACAACCACATTTATGTTAATAGTACAGTCAAAATTAGCCGCCAAATTTTGTCAATCGAAACAAACAAAATTTTGACTATCACATTGTGTGCGGCACCCCATTTATCTAGCCTTTACATCAGATTTTAATTTTCTTTTAAATATGTTTATAGGCAAAATGACATGCACCCACCCACCCATAGTTTATTGTAAATATAATTTGGTATCAAAAAGTTTGGATATAACAAACACCTAATTTCTGTTAATATTTGTCCGTTAAATTAAATTGTAAAAGGGTAAGATAGTAAATTTAAAAACATATAAGGGGTGATTATGTCATTTCAGCCCTTTCTTCTGCAGTTAAAACCACCTTTCTTCTTCAAAGCCGCCGCCGCCACCGTTCTTGCCGGCTTTTTTTCTTTTTTCCTTTACCTTTTCAGTTGATCTCACCTCCCACCACCATCCTCCTCCATCCCCATCCAAAATTGACCCATTTTTTTCCGGAATTTTCTCTTTCCCCCGACACATCTTCACCCTAGCGATAGCCGGATCAAGCCAGAACTCACTCCCATCTGAAGCCCCACATCACCTTCTCCAAAACCCATGTCCCTCTCACCCCGATTTACCCGGCCATTTCCCTGCTTGTGTGATTGTGTTTGTTATTGTTGTTGGGTTTGTTCATGGCAAGAGTTCAAATTTAGTGCCAATTTTCACCTTTCAGTGCAATTGGGTTTTTTGAAGCTGCAGCTGTAGTTTATTGATCTTATACTGGTTTTGACATGCTGGCAACTATGGCTGAAGAGACTAAGCGTCCTGCAAGGGATATACCGATTGGTTTGGTTGGTTCAATGTCTATGATTACTGTGACTTATTGTTTGATGGCTTTGGCATTGACCATGGTGGTAAAGTATACCCAAATTGATATAAATGCTGCATACTCAGTTGCTTTTGAACAAATTGGCATGAAATGGTCTAAGTATTTGGTGAGTGTTTCCCCGGCCATTTCCCTGCAGCCGACCAAAAATTTTCTGGTTTTGAAAACGTCCAGCCTTGTTTGCTTTTTTTTTCAGGTTGAATATAAAATTATCACACTACCCTTCAGCTAACAAAATTCACTAATAGAAACTAACGAAAAGTGAGTATTTGTCATTTATACACTTTCTAGCTATCAAATTATCTTTACGGTAAACTATGCTACCTGCATGTCGTTCAGCCTATGTTTATATCTAAAATGCATGAGCTTGGAAATGTCTAAAGGTCAATGGGATAATAATATTTTATTTAAGAATTTATAAGAAATAAAACAAAATGGATTATTAATTAGTGATGTCAGAGGTAATCATGGAGTTTGGTAGATTAAATGAGGAAAGAGAATGATAGAGTGTTGACGTAATTGAAATGATAGGTGATAGGAGGGTTCTATTTGTAATTTTCTTTTAAATTAATCGGCCAGTTTTGCGAAGAAAAGGACGAAAATATGAGGTTTAATGCGAAAGAAATCAGAAAGAATGAGGACTACAGGGTGATATAAATATATTGGGCTTGAATGTTTAAACCTCATTCATCACGTGTGAGAGTAGACGGAAAAGAAAGGATGTGACATAACATACTCAATGAGACAAAATCTATGACATGCTTTAAATTATTGCATATTTCTAGGATCAAACCCATAATTCAGTTGGATGAATAGAACTAGGTCATTAACTAGATTTCATCTACTCAACTAAAATAATTGAATAACCATTTGGCTAAGCTTTGCGTTAACCCCAATTGATAATATAACACGCCACACCGCCACTAGACTGCCAAACGTAAGGCTAGAGATTCAAAGGAAAAAGAGAATCGTAGAAAAATGTATTATACTAATTGTTATGCTTAAAAAGTTGGGATCCATTCTTGTCAACAAGAGTCAATCAAGATTTAGAAAGGTTTTGTATCGTATTAGTGTTGCCACATTGTATAGTAAAGAAAAATATATGGTTCTTGTCAGTACAGTAAGTGAATATCAAACTTGCAAATAGCTAGAGATTATCCACCTGTCCAAGCCCTACGCAATTTGAAGATATTTATTGTTTAGATAACCAATGGGATGCAAAGAAAGATTTGTACGGCATCTACCCACTTGCAGACTCATAATCATTATCTTACACTTTCCTACTACAAATAGAGGGCACCCCTCTCATTTATGAGATTAATTGATCTTAGTCTAAAACAGCTTACATACTTTCTCTCTCTCTCTCTCTATATCCCCTCTAGATTGTAACTCAGTTCGTCACACGCAACCTGATTTCACCCATCTATTAATGCAATAGCAGTGGACATAGGATTCGCTTTTGAGCATCCGAACCACTTTAAATATTGCTTTCTATTCATTGTCTCATTTCATGTTTCCTTATCACGTGTGATTTCTAAGTTCGCTTAGCACTTTACAGTCATTAGTGTTAAAATCAAGCATCAACACTAATTAAAAAGAAAATTGTTTTTGTTTATATAAAGATTTATGTGCCCAATATATATTCTTATTAGTGCTAAGGTAACGAAGGATAACATTGTCACCTCTCTAAGTTTAAGATTTAAGTGCCCCAGGCTCCGTTTGGTTCACATTTTTGGGAAATTTTTTTTGAAAAAAGTTAAAAAAAAAAGTTAAATTGGGCGGGTATTACGATGTAGGATTTATAAATTAATAAAATACCCCCTAAATTTGTTTTTTTACAAAACACCCTCATAATAAAACATTAAAAGTTAACAAAAATACCCCCAACCCACCCATCAAATACGGACAGCCAGCCATACCACCGGAGGGTGGCTGGAGTCTCCGTATCGGCGCACGACCGGCTAATCGACGCACTAGCGGCAAGATCCAGCCGGTAGTGTGCCATCCTACCAGATTCCAGCCAACTTCCGGCAGTGGTGGCCAGAATCTGGTATAATGTGGGTTTAGGGGTGTTTTTATAATTTGGAAAAAAATATTTAGGGATATTTAATTAAATTAACAGATTTAGGAGGTTTAAAAAAAGTTAAATAATATTTGATAATATTGTGAGTTTTTTGGTATTTTACTGTTTAACTTTTTTGGGAATACTAATAATAGTATTCCCAAAAACCAACCAAGCGGAGCCCAAGTTTTTTTTTTTTTTTTTTCTCATGTTGTACCTTTTTAATTGGAATATTAATCATATCAAATGACATTTATACCCTTGAGCTCTTTTTTAATAGAATTTGTTATGTTATTTGCTAGTGTTGAAGATATCTCTCATAAATAGTAAATAAAGCATGGATAATTAAAAAAAAAAAAAGTAATCCACAGTACCGCAAAGCGGTAAATTTACAAGGCGTCATTTCGTCTTGTATTAATTACAGTCCTATTGCAATTTTAGTTCAGTTCAGTCCTTCTTAGTTTAAATACTTTTCATTGTAGTCCTACTTGTGATATGGCCCATATATATTCGATCTTTGATCTGTTCTAATAAACATAACAGTCAATGAACAAGTTATTAGCTAGCCTTAATAAGAGTTCAAACTGGTATCATCTGATACATTGCACCCTACAAAATTGAATGATCCAAACTATGATCAGTTTCAATTCATGAAATCACAATTTTAAGGTGGCATAGGAAGTCTCAATTGTATATATTTTTCTGCGTAATTCTCTTCATTTGGCTACCGGGAAAAATATAAAGAAAATCTACGATTTTTGTGTTGTAAATAAAATATTAAGTGGAAGATACCTAGATTACGTTTTTCCCTTATTTAATTTCTAGCTACTTATGCTACTGATTCATGTAATTATAAAATCATATTGTTAGCCTAACTTTCTCTGGGGTAATAATTTATGAAATTCTTATGCATGTATATTTGTTGATTATTATTCATCAAACCCACTCCTACAAAGTCCAATCATCTCTCAACTCGGGTTAAGTGTGCTATTAACTAACGATGTTTAAAGTATAAATGAAATCAACTAATATTATCATTACAAGATGATTATTGATACTAATCTTGACACCATTTGAGCTTCAAAGCTAGGATCTCAATTACATACAACCGAATTACTCCATGATTGAACCATTCAAGTTACATCCTAACCAAGCACTCATCAAAGCTATTGCCATGCCATCAAACACCACCACAACTCCTATGAGCTACAGATGCAGGAGCTAAGAGAATCCTTCATTTATTAGCTGATATAAAATTTTGACAAATAATCTTTGACTACTATATCTCTTTCGGTGATCTCAACGGTTGCTCTTGAATTAAGGCCCAAGGCCCAACTTCTATTTTAACTTGGGTTTCGGTAACGATCTCATCTGCCCATCTACTAAAACGGGTCAATGACGCCCCTAGTGGCTGATTAAATGCAATTGAATATTAGGTTTGAAATATTATATTATATTTATTCGATATTATGTTATAAAGTTTTTTCTTCTTAAAGCCACACAATCTATTGATCACAGCAGGCCAAAACATATACTAAATTTCAGTTTATAATCAAATTAATTGCTATAAGAATATAATTAAAAAAGAAATACGAGAAAATTCTATCACCTCCCCTTGAAGAACTGATTCTCCCACCCCTCCTACGAATTCCGATCACCTCTCAAACTCATCTCCGGTTTGAAGTAAAATCTAATTGATACCCGTAAACAAATCCGCCTTTAAAAGCAAGCACACCAAAATCTGGATGCTTAACTCAAATAATAATAAATGGATTAAGTATGCTTCTAACAGATTAAACAGATTTAATATGAGTAATACTAGTCTTACAAAGA